TTAGTGGTTTTTAAATATCATCCCAAAATGTATTCCATTTAATAGCACTTTTACTCTCAATTATCTACACTTCAGTTTTATCCTAATCATCACTGTGCCATAAGCCTTTTATTTTGAAGTAGCAAAGCATTGTAGTGAACTTCCTATGTCCATCAGAGGTGTCTGTTTTAATTTTCTGAGATGTCCACTGTAAAAGAACGTTCTCTCTGAATGTCATTCTTTCAACTTCATATGTTCTGTATATCATTGGTCAAGTTTTGTGTTTGAAATCTGCTTCTTGTGAAGCATACTGTACATGAGTGTGATGTAAAAAAAACAGATTAAATCTGAAACAATTGGTTGATTAGGGTTATTCTAACATGACAAAATAAGACCAAATTAATCTCATTTGCTAACGTTTGCATGGTCATAAGCATACAACCATAACACTAGACTTGTTATTCTGGTTTGTGATTCTCAGAATGATCAGATCTTCCTTAATTCCCTGGAGTAAGTACAGTAATTGTTGGTTTTTGCATTACAGAATAAATCTGCTGATGTTTCAGAGACTGAAGTCAAGAAGTTTGATGGAACTGGATATGATAAAGACCTTGTAGAGGCCCTCGAAAGAGATATAATCTCTCAAAACCCAAATGTGAAATGGTGAGTAAAAAGTTCTTTTTGTGACATAGTGTATCATTAGTGGCTTAACAAGGAAATTCTGTGGAGTTCATTTTGGCACAATTCATTTTCCTGTTTTTATATTACAAGCACCTTACCTCCTGATTTTACAGAAACAATGGTGTTTTGAACACTAAACAAAAATTAAATTTTTCATGAACTCAAAAGGCAATTATTGGACATTGGTGACCTGATAATATGTACATAAATCATAGAAAGTTAAGGTAAATGTATAACACATATATGCATTGTAGTGAATAGCAGTAATATGTTTTAACGAGTAATGTTCATTTCAAATAGACATAAAATCAAAATAGAACAAAAAAAGAAAAGATTATTGCACATAAATAAAATGGAAGTCACATACTATGCCTGTTACACATTTACCTTTTCATGCTTTTCACAACACCTGGCTTCCTGTGTAAGATACATCTTCCTCAACTTACCTGCTGCACTAGCAGGTGATGTTGATCAGCACTTGGCAGTCATGATGGCTGGATATTTTGAGATGAAACTCGCAGGATGTGCCAACGCTGTACTTGTTTTGCAACAAATAACAGTGGAAAGACGGAGACAGTGCGGTATAACTTTGAACTGACAGAGCATGTAACCTTTTTCTGATGCGCATTTTGACACAAATTCCTTATGTGAAACCCTGAATTTGTTAGGTACAGAATGTACAAGACTGCGATGAGTCTTCCAGTAAATACTTGGGTGTTGGGTAGTATCCTTTTAAAACCCACATGTAATTATCTTATCTTCCATCTCCAGGGATGACATTGCAGACTTGGAAGAAGCCAAAAAACTGTTGAAGGAAGCTGTCGTACTGCCTATGTGGATGCCGGAGTTCTTCAAGGGAATTCGTAGGCCCTGGAAGGTACTTATGGAATATTTATGAAGTTTTCTCAGGGTGTGGCCGTTTCAGTAAACCTTGCTTTGCATGCAGGTGTTCGGCCTTTTCCTGGATGTGCCAGAAGGTTTTGTGTGTTTTGCAGTAGCGTGTGGAGCGCGCCTGTGTTCACCAGCTGGATTGAGATCGCTCTGTTTGCTAACCGTCTGTTCCCGTGCAGGGAGTGCTGATGGTGGGCCCCCCCGGCACAGGAAAGACGCTGTTGGCCAAAGCCGTGGCTACGGAATGCAGAACCACCTTCTTCAACGTGTCTTCATCAACACTCACCTCCAAGTACAGAGGAGAATCTGAGAAATTAGTACGACTCCTGTTTGAGATGGTAAACCTCCCATGTTTTTGGCTGACCTAGAGTGTCTGTCGCAATTTAAGAGCGGCATGGCAGTGCAGTGGTTAGCAGCGCTGGGGCCCTGGGTTCAGTTCCTGGGGTGCTGTCTGTGTGGAGTTTGCATGTTCTCCCCGTGTTCCTGTGGGTTTCCTCCGGGTGCTCCGGTTTCCTCCCCCTGTCTAAACAGTCCAAAAGGCTTCTGGGAAGACGGGCCTGATGTGAGTGTGTCTATGTCTGCGTTTGTCTGCCCCGTGATGGGCTGGCGTCCCGTCCAAGATATACCCCGTCTCGTGCAGGTTGCTTGCTGGGATAGACACCGGCTCCCCTACAACCCTGACTTGGAAGATGCAGTTAGAAAACGTATGGATGTTGCATTGTACTGTAGCTGTCGCTGCGGAAATGCTCAGATTTTTGTTTTTAGTTTTTGTCTTCGTCTGGTATAAGCGGATTAGCGGTTTACTGCGTCGTGGAGGGAAGTATTTTTTGAGAAGTAATTGTCCTCGCCTAAATCCCTTAAAAAAGCGAGCAGAATCCTATGCTGAGAACCCGCCCGGTGTGAATCGGTATGACGGGGTACAAACTGGCCCTGCGGTGTCTGTTGTGCTTCCAGGCCAGGTTCTACGCTCCCACCACCATCTTCATCGACGAGATCGACTCGATGTGCAGCCGCCGGGGAACGTCGGAAGAGCACGAGGCCAGCAGGAGGGTGAAAGCAGAGCTGCTCGTCCAGATGGACGGTAAACAGAGCTGCCCGTTCCCACAGCGAACACGTCAGTCCGGCTCATTGTCATGGGCACAGGGGCGATGAGATGCTTATTTGCATGTGCGCTCCTATACCAGTACGTTAAAGGAATCGCCAAAAACAAGAAGTTGAATAACGCATGACTTTTAAAAAAAAGCCAGACAGGCAGTGTAAGAAAATAAACACATCAGCGTGAGCCAGTCGTAGGGGCAGAGTTCAGCAATCTGACAGCTTGTGGGAAGAAACTGTCTCTGAATCTGGAAGTTCGTGCCTTCATGCTCCTGTAACGCTTACCAGAGGGAAGGGGGGAGAAACTGGGGTGATTGTTGTCCTAAGCGATGTTTCCAACATAGACGCCTTTCTGGAAAGCAGTGTGCACTGTAAGTGAACTTGAATCTGAGTGTCTTTCACACCATCTGGAGTCACAGGTGCCCTTCAACCAACTAGAAGCTTAAATTCCTAGGATAAACATATTGCCCATCATTCAGACAGTTTCGTTTCATTTTAATACTTTATTTGGTGATCGAGATTGCATGTCTGTAGTGTATGATAATTTGTCGTTTCTCCTTCAGCTGTTTGTCCTGGCTGCCCAGATACAAAAAGACACTGATGTGAAGTGAAGCATTGTCTCTGGGTGGCGATGTATAATGTGGTGTTTCTTTGCAATTAAAGTGTTTTTAAAAAGCCTTGCTGTGAATATAACAAGTCTTACCTTGCCCATCCTAGATATTGTAGGGACTACACCCAGATAAACGAGTGTATTAAGTTCGTTTTTACAATTATATGCAAGTAAAATTAATCTTGCTTTTGAAAGCAAATATTCATTTTGTGTTTGAAAAGGCCTGTCACTTTAATATCCTCCTAATAGGTGTGGGCGGGGCCTCAGAAAATGAAGACCCGTCAAAAATGGTCATGGTTTTGGCAGCCACAAACTTCCCCTGGGACATAGACGAGGCGCTGAGACGACGACTAGAAAAGAGGATTTACATTCCTTTACCTTCAGGTAAGTGAGCTTGTCCTCCACTAAGTCCCAAGGCTTGGAGACATGATTGCATCAGTGAAAAGAATGTTTTCAGGAAATATGTGACTTCATCTGTCCGCTTCAGGCATAGGGATAAATACTTGGACTGATCCAAGACTGAGAAGACAGTCCCGTCTTAAGTATACGAGAAGTTACATGTAAGGCTTGACTGATATTTTTCTGTGCTCTACGCTTTTGTTGTTTTTAAAAATTTGAATGGTGCATCATTAGTTTCACATTTGGGTATGACAACTCGCAATAAGTCCAATCTTGGCTCAGTACACATTGTCCTTGCCTTTTCTGTGGCTTTATGTGACTAGTGATGTTTTTAATCCAGCTAAAGGCAGAGAGGAGCTCCTAAAGATCAGCCTGAAAGAGCTGGAGCTAGCAAATGATGTTGATATGGCGAAAATAGCAGAGCAAATGGAGGGTTATTCTGGAGCTGACATCACCAATGTATGCAGGTAAGGCTTTAAAAACCCTTTCTGGTCTATTGAGTAGATATTGAATTCGGTTTGGGGTACAGCTATTTACTGGATACAGGGAAGGTTTATTGGATTTTGTGTATCTACAGTGACAGATGTGCTTTTGGCTTTAAGCACGGAGAACTTTGTAAAGAAATAAGCTAACTACTGTGAAAGAGTGCATAATTATGGTATGTTTAAGGTGCTTTTGAAAACGAGTCTCAACTGCTGAGTGACATTCCCCTTGAAAGCAGTAGTTAAGGCTGTCGGGGAATTAAATATTTCATGAATGGAAAATTGTCAGAAATGCTGTGGCGCCTAACTACTGCTCAAGCATCTTCTTCGCAGATAAACAGGTGGAGGCCAGCGCATAAATTCCTTTTTTCTTTTCCCCTTGGTTTTGTCCAGAGACGCCTCCCTGATGGCCATGCGCCGGCTCATTGAGGGCCTGACGCCGGAGGAGATCCGCAACATCTCCAGAGACGAAATGCACATGCCGACCACCATGGAAGATTTCGAGACGGCTTTGAAAAAGGTGTCCAAGTCTGTGTCCGCAGCAGACCTGGAAAAATACGAAAAGTGGATTGCGGAATTTGGCTCCTGTTAAGGCATTTTTTTTTCCCCTTAGAACTTAGTTTTAAAACCTCCCTAACGCTCAGGGGAAAACAGGTGCAGTTCCTGACCGAAGATTTTTTTTTTCCATCTGGGAAATGTGTAGCAGGTATTTGACGTGACCTGTGCAAATCAGAATATTAGGGTTGTTCCATGATTATGAATTAAGATTATAATTCATAAGTTCCTGATTATGAATTAAGTGCAACAATTTAATATTCATGTTTGATTCTGTACTACAGCCTGATTGATGGGATAAGGTCATTCCTTGATTGGGCTCTCATCTAGCTCATTCTGATTCTCAGAAATTTGAGCAGCCAATGAGTCTGCATTTTTAAAAGTAGAAAAACATGAAATATTGGTGGCATTACAGTCAACTGTTGATGTCCTTTTAGAAGTTAATATTTCACGACTGCTTCAAGATCAGTTCATTGCATTTTCAGAAAGTTATCTGCATTTGAAATCGGATGATTCATTTTATCTGTCAGGTTGTAGAACTGTCTATAAAATTACATCAACCTCTAGCACTTGCATCATATTTGAGATGGGAGCTTATGAGACACTCCTTATTTTTTCATTTTTGTTGTAGGTTATCAGCATCTTCATTATTTCTTGCTTCGAAATGAAGATGAGCACTTTGAAAAACACTAAGTTCTTGCACTTCACAGGGTAGGTCTAAAAACATTATTTCCTGACTGTGGAACAAGAAAAGCAGAGTTACATACCTCAGATGAATGAGATCTTTAAGTATGGAAAATTTTAGCACTTGTTGCAATATTCATCTGTACGTTGCGCAAATGGTGATCATGTGTTTGTGTATATTAGCCGAAGTGCCTGTTGAAGATTACCTTGTCAACCTTTCTGGGACAGTAATGTTACACTGTTGCAATAAAGTTAGATGTGTGTTGCACACATTGGTCACATACAGCATTTATTACTTCCAACTGTTAACTGCACAGCTACTACCATTGTTAAATGATATTTCAGTTGCATGAACTGGCAATAACTTTTACATTTAAATGAACATATAATTAGCAAAACTTCTTAAATCTGATTTTTTCATATCGGCACATTCTTAAAGGCATTGAGCCACCAGGTGGTGCTGTGTATGAACAGATAAGATCAGATCAATTTATTGGCCATGTACAATTTCTTGCATTAGGAATTTCTTTTCGCAGACCCCAGCTTGCTCTCCATGAGACATACACAAAGGGAGAGAAGCTTGGGGTCAGAGTTGGGGTTAAGGGCCTTGCTCAGGGGCCCAATGGAGTAGGATTCCTCTGCTGGCCGTGGGATATGAACCAGCAACTTTACAGGCTCAGATCTGTAGCCAGGGTGTCTCTGCTCAGGCCTAGGAGATGGTATGGTTAAAATCTTTACACCTGTCTGAATCAGGAAAGTCCACCGTTCTCTGGTGGGGAGCATGAGGCAGTGGACAAAACTGCCTGTAGTCCACCCGCTGAGCCATATTGCAAGCATGGCAGGAATAGAGAGGAAGTTTAGTGCCAGTTACAAGAAGCAGCATGTCCCTCAGTAGTCTTGGCACAAGCCTCCAGCTGCCACTGTTTCACAGGAAACCAGTAGTCCTTGCCAGCTACTCTCTACCCCACCCCAAGCTACACTGAGCCAGTTACGCATTGCTGCTAAGGGAAATCCTGCTCACGGGCCCCAGGCTGTCTAGAGTGCAAGTACCTTTACCCTTTGGATACCCTAGGAATCCAACTGGATTACTGTAACGTTTCTACTCCATGTCAACATCCTCCGCCAGTAGTGGCTCTTGAAAATTGTTTGCTTCGATAATGGAAGAAATAAAGTGCATCCTGTCAAAGGAACCGTCATCCACTGAGACTGAAAGGGGAACTACAGCTTGAGTATGAAAGCTTGGTATCCAAATGATTTGTGAAATTCTACAAATTCTGAATTAAGTGCAAAATTGTGAACTTGGTGAAAATACTGTATAGCCTCCATGTTGATGGAAGACAAGAAACCGCTAGTCTTGCCACAATGAAAGCGAGAGGTTGTGTGAATTGTGACACAAGTGGCCCTTCCTGCTCCCTACTCACTGCACAAGAACAAGAAACATGGTCTCCTTACAACGTAAATCCTTTTTCGTCTATTTGAACCAGTGTGTGTATTTTAAACAATGCTGTTCAGAACATAGTGGTTGCACATAAAACAAAGGATCAGATCAGCAGAAAGTCAAACCGTTTCCTTTTCCAAAGGATCATCAGCTAACCAAGAGCTGGGTAATAAACATGAGCACAGATGTTGGTCCCATCAATAAGTGTCTTGATGAGATTCAGTGTTGTAAGAGCAAATTAGTATAGAATTTTCCTTCTAGGTGTGATTTACTATGAATAACCACCAATGATGGAGCACTTTTGCGAAACCTGAAAATAAATGAGTATTTTAGTTGGCTGGCAGGTTGCTCTTTTTTGTAGTATTAAGATGAGTATCTAAACAACATCTGGCCTTGTATGTGTTGGTTTCACGAAAATATTTAAAATCTAGTAGTTCCAAAATTGGCTTGGTCTAAAGCATGTTTACAGTGCAAGGGCCGCTTTTGCGTCATCAGGCGCTTTGTTGCCTGGTTCTGAATCTCGGACAATGACAGCAATATGGTGCTACAATGAAACTTCATCTCTGTGGTGATGTTAATTGGAGGTTGTACTCCTTGCCGTGTACGTGGTAGTTTCATTGTTTGAAATGCAAAAACAAGTGTTGCAGTTCCACTTCAACAACGATGTGTGTACTAAAGGTAAATGTACGCTGCTGAGATAATCTGGACGGTTTCAGTAAGAAGTTTATTTCATTGAGTACGCGTTCAACATGACGTCATGAAGGAAGGGGGAAGGTTTGATGGAAAATCGGGAGTAAACCTACACCATGCTTCCATGCTTTTAGCATCGTACATACAAAAGAAAGTAATGGAAAAACAAGAAGGCACAATAAGCAGCAGTAAGTGCATCATATGTTAACTACAGCAATACTGGCACAAGCTGCCCATACTGTATGATGGTGGACGATAATTTATGTTCAGGGAAGCAAACGCTAACAGAATGTGGTTCCCATCGTGGTGTTTCTCAGCATTACAACATGCTGCTCTCATGCCACAAAGCACCTTCAACTCGAGGATCAGTTCTTGATTGTGATGTTAGCAGCTTTAAAATGCATTCATAACTACATACCCTTTGGAAAGACAATTGTACAAAAAAAAACATTTTCATTCACTTGAACGGTCTCGCTGTAGCAGCGGAAATACAAATGCACGTATGGGGAAATTGTCCCAAAACTGCTTTCTTCCATGTGCTACTGTTGCTTTTTTTCCATATACCGCTATTTAATGCTTAACACTGTAGCACTGTCGTTTTTGTGTATTAGACATCAACAGACATATATATGGTACCAGACCTTTATGATTACTTTTTATCCAGGAGTTTCAAAATACACTGTGCAGAAAAAGTCAGCAATAAAGGACCCGTGAGCCCAAACATTTAGGAAATCAAGCTAAAAATCAGTTGTGGTTATATTGTGAGTGAACTAACTCGAGACATCTTATTGCGTTATCCACGTTGCTTTTGTGAACACATACTTTAACATTTTGTTTTGCTTGCTTAGTTTGAACAGTTTTAACTATTCTCTGATCTTGTTAAATACTCAAAAGCTTTTACAGCCTTCTGTGGTTAACTAAAATGATTACACAAAAGTGTGCAGGGTCCATCATAATGAGTTTCTGTGCAAAGGACAGCATTTCTAATTAATCTGTTCAAGACTGAGTGCAATGCAGGAGACTATACACACACTGATGGACCACCAAGCAGTAGAAATGTACAGTCTCGCTAAAGATGTTTTGTTTCAAGGTCTTTTCTCACCAGATGTAGCGTGGCATGGAGGTACATTCAAAGTGTTAAATTAATATTAAAAATTTCTAGTTTGGACTCGGGTGATCACTGTCACATAAAAATTCTGAATGACTAGATTTTGAAAATAAAATTCAGGGAGAAAGAAAACACATCACTCAATCATTTATGAAAGGGCTGTGTAGAGTGAAGGATTGTCTGTTTCACTGCTGAAGCAAACCATCCAGCTCCGTTGACCGAGTCTGAAATGTAGTACAGCAACGAGCAAGTGCGGCTCATGGATTCTTCAGCTCTTCTGGTGTTTTCGTCTCCTCCATGTGTTCCAAAAGGGAATGTTTTTCCTCTTCTGGCATCAGTGTGACGGGATCAAGTCTGAAAATCCCCCTTAAAGAGAGGAAAGATTGCAGTAAGTCAGGAGTTTTAGAATTGCCAATTATGTGAAACTATGACCTTGGTGACTGCACAGGGGAAAGAGAGGAAGACGTCTCTCTTTTTGAACAATCACGGCCCCGTGGCAGAGGTTTAGCACCAGATAGAGGAGAGACATGCGTCTACAGTAAGTCCTAAGTCCACTTCCACAGGAAAAAAAAAGTGCATTCTCAAAGGAATTGTGGTTCATTCAGCTTTCAATACTAAGGAAAAGTAAACCTACACTACTGTTAACAACTTTGACATTTCGGTAACACGTTTTTCCAAGTATAATTTCAACGTGTACTCGACGGGCTGCTCCGAGCCTCTGCAGAACCCCAGTCACGGTGAGGTGGTTAGTGACGTGACCCGGCTCAGGCTCGGTCAGCGCCGAGCTCAACCGGCGATCAGGCCACCGCCTTTAACAGCTGAGCCACGCTGGAGGCAGTTTACGTGCTTGAACTGCAGTCAGTGCAAGTCTTGTTCCTTTTAGTACACATGAAATATACAAATTCCATGAGCAAAGATATAACACTGCAGTAACGCTGACGGGCATGTCATTGTGGATCACAGTCCAATGGGTCAGTCTTTGGATATAGAAGGATACATTTATGAATGTTAAACTAAACTGGGATTATGATGCCTTGAGTTGTCATGCGCAGTATGTTTCTGAAATGTATTAGCTGGTTTAATTGCCATTTTTACATGCCTTTATAGCAGAATTATTATTTCCATGTTTGTAATCACAAAAGCAATTACATCTTGGTCAATGACTATTACTTCATTTTAATACCTGGAAAGACCTTTAGCACTCTTCTGAGTTCACAAATGCTTCCATGAATAATGTGCACTCTCTGCCCTCCAGCCACACCGGGAAGCATTGAAGGGTTACATCTTGTTCTCCTTCATAAACTTCCTGACATGCTCTAAGTGTTTCAGTACATTTTCACTGTTCCAGTCTATTTTGGCCCTACAGAGTTTGTACAATTAAATCGGTTATACCAACTAATGTTACAGCACTAGGTTTCCTTCGGCAATAACCTGCTGCATTAGAGTACTCTATCCATCCGTTCTTTTTGTCAGCGATTCTTCCAATTCAGGATGGGAGGGGAGGCCAGAGTCTCTCCATGCAGACAGACACAGTCACACTCACGCCAGGGCTGATTTTCTCTGAAACCCATTAACCCACCAGCATGCCTCTGGACCATGTGAGGAAATCGGACACCCATGCGAACACGGGGTGAACATACAAACTCCACACGGATAGCCTCCCCGGACCGGAACTGAACCCAGCAGCAATGCTCACCCCTGTGCCAGTCGCCAGAGTACTTTACCAACTAAATCATATGGCAAGCGGGGACTAAAAATTGGCCCTGACATTTACAACGTTGGCCCAGATCCAGGCTGTAAACTCTTTAGTAAATGCGGTTTCACCCCATGTTTTCAGCAAATAAGACACTTTTAACAAACAAGTGAAAGACTACTCTTGTACGTATATTTAGCAACTTTAAACCAATGAATAATCAAACCAAAAATCTTATGCATTCCTGAGATGACACAAATGGAGGATATTATAGAATATCGTCTTGATGAATACTATTTCTTTGTAGCAGCCCGATATGGATGGTACATAAAAAACAAAGACAGCTCCCTTGAACTAGGAAGAGCAAAGTAATTTGACTATTCTGAATTTCAACTGTACTCTTCGAGATAATCCTAGGTCTAGCAGTTAGATGCCTTATGTACATTCTTATTCACACCCCTCTCTCAGGAAAAGCACAGGACAGCAGATGTCTCAGTACAACAGACAACCCCACACAACATAGAGAGTACATTACAGAACAGTGGACAGTAAACAGTGAAGTACAGTACAAGTTACAGTTGTATCATCTGTCCGCTCAGAGCTAGGTACAGTGGCAAAATTGCCGGCGACTCCATGACTGTGAGACAAATCCATTATCTGTACACATTCAGCGGTGTAGCCAGAGTCTTCCGCTGCTACCCTTCAACTTTCTTGACACCCCAATTGTGCTTTTTGACCCGATTTGTACTCGTGTTATCAGGAGATCGTGCAGGACATCTAACAGCTGAGTCGCCTTAGCCGAAGGGCAGGAGGAAAAGGCCCATGACCGCAGCAACCTCAGTACTGTAGGAGCACGCACCTGACTGGTCCAGTGAGGAGGAACTAGGGGCAGCTTGTCCAGTCAGGGAGCATTGTAAATTTCACGAACGAAGTATTTTATATAAAGAGCTTTGACAAAGTGAAGTGTTTTGACCCAAACTGTATTTAATTTGTTCCCCATGAACCAATGTGTCCTGCCTGTTTGGCCAAACATTGGGCCTTCTGGCATAAACGAGAGCTGCCTGGTTACCAGCCATACGGGAGACCGATTTCTGTCTCCAACCAAGCCAAAGAAATCAACGGGAATTGTATTTCCTTCTCAATACGCTTTAGCAGTCTGCAGGGCCAGATGGTGAGATTTCTAGTCTGGGAAGGGTTTTAGGGAGCAGGCGAGAGGCTGCTGGGACCGGCCGCTGCCCCGTGCATACTCACTTGTGCTCACAGGACGGGAAGAGGAAATCGAGGATCTTGACGATCACAGCCGACCCCACCACTCCCACCACCACAACCCACATCACCAGGAAGAACAGCGGGAGGGATTCGCTCCAGAAATGGCGAAGTCTGTCTCTCAGCTTCTCCACCCACTGGCACATGGCCTTAAATGAGAGGACATTTTTTTTTTGCCAACATGCACGGAAAAACAAGCTGTTAACTGAAAATTAAGACTCCTGCATAATTCCTATTACATCCGCTACCAAATATACAAATCAGATCTGCTGAAAGATACATGTACAGCATTTAACGTCAATTTTATACCATTATATCTCCTTTAACAAACTGGACCAATAGTTTGACTCTTCTAATCACCTCCAGTAGAGTTTTCTTCTGTAAAAAGTCATCTGTACAACATAAATGGTCATCATGTCATTGTTTCTTGTTCAGTGATGAGGGGAAATAATCATACACTGTAATAGCCAGTAATATCAACAAACACAGCAGAAAAGGTTGGTGAGTTTTCCTGGATGCATAGAGCTTTATGTACAGAGATACTGTCTAAATCCTAAAAGAAGGAATCTCCTATTAAGAAGAAGAAGAAACCTTATTTTATATAGTGCTTTTAAAAGGAGCATCTTAACAGAGTTTTACAGCAGGTGTGAAATACAGTACAAATTCAGAAACCGCAGGTCATTACTCAAGAAGATGCGGACTGGGTTTAACTGGCTGACCGTCCAGTCTGCTCTAGCGCCGTGTCAAACCTCTTACGTTGTAAGAAGACAGCGATTCCGATCGCAGGGGGGTCTCGGGGAGTAGCTTGTCAGGGAGCCCCTCTTCCTCGGCTGTAGTTTCCTCATCGTAGACGGAGCCGGCGTCCATGCGGAGAGGGGTTTCGGGCAGCTTGCCCGGGGCGGCCGTCTCCTCCACTGTGGTCTCGGCCTGTTTTAAAGGATAGTGGCTGGTGGTCTGGAGAGGGTCACGGTCGACCGCCGAAACTGGAAAAAAAAAACAAAAGGAAGAGCAAACCAAGACACTTAAAAAATTGTTCTTGGCAGGGGCTTTTCAAGAAGGCCTCTTGGGGAGGAACCCAATATTAACAAAAGTAAAACTCTGATTGTAACAAAAAATCTACGTGTTATTTATACAGCATTAGAAGCTCAACAGCATGTTAATGAATCCAAAGATAAAAGCTGTGTTAGTGTAGGCCTACAAACCGACTACCGGACCTGGGCAGAAATCTTGGGCAGAGCGGTGGCTCTGTGGCTAAGGATCTGTGCCTGTTGCTGGAAAGTTGCTGGTTCATATCTCATAGCCAGCAGAGGAATCCCTGAGCAAGGCCCTTCACCCCAGCTGCTCCAGGGGTGCCGTATAAATGGCTGACCCTGCGCTCTGATCCCCAGCTTCTCTTCCTGTCTGTGTGTCTCATGGAGAGCAAGCTGGGGTCTGCAAAAGGACAAATTCCTAATGCAAGATATTGTATATGGCCAATAAAGTGATCTTATCTCCCTTTGTGGCCACAAACCTCCAAGGGATCCTTGAGTCACACTTTCAAACACTCTGACCTAAAACCCTTCCGAGTTCTTTCACTTTGTTTTTCCTGCTTGTTTTCCATCTACGTCTCGGCGAGGCTAAATGCTCTGATGTTCGAGTCGTAACCCAGGAGCTTAATATTTGGTGCCCCCAAGGAAATCTTGTTTCTACCTTCTTCTGGGACGCTGGGATCTGTGACGACGATGTCGTTGTCTCTCGGGATGCTGAACAGCATGCTTTCCATCATAGGGAAGGAATAGGACGATTGCTTCAGTCTCTGAAAGTTTTTGTTCATCAATATATTCACCTCATACATGTTTGGCTGTTGTACCTAAAAAAGAAACAATGTAATCAGTGGGCACAAAATTTCTCTAGGCCAGGTATATTTTGGAATTAGACACAATATAATAGTGAACAATGTAATAAATAAAAAGAATATGAGTAAATAACATTGCAATAATGTAGAAAGTGATAATACAAATCAAGCAAATACCCTCAAATGTTCCACAACATGGCATTCTGCCTTGGCATTCCCTTTCGAGAGGGCTGGAGAAAGGAAATTTGGAGTGGTTGCCCCTTGTCACCAGTACTATTTATGTCCTCCCACGCTCTTCACGAAAGTAAACCAACTAACATAAAAGGCTGTCACTCCTGGCTTGGCGGTGGATGATTGGCTTTTTACAGACCCACAGACAAATGGAAAGACGTTTTACTCACTCCTCTCACCCTATTTCATGAATGCAAAAGATCATTTGCTTGCATCCCGGAAGCCGTTTTCACTTCTGATCGGGGGGAAAAAAAGGGCCTGGCGTGCGGTTTGGTTTGGAGGACGAGCGTGGCTCCCTGCACCGCACGTGCACACGCAGAGCTTTCAAGGGATCTGCCACGGCTCATCCTTCCGAGTTGCGGAACAGAAATTACCTGTCTCCCTTCCACCTCAATCACTTCTTCATTGAAGACAAGGAGCTCCACCACGGGATCGCTCTCCAGAGGCCACTGGCGCACTAACACGCGTACCACAGCCATCACGTAGACACCAGAGCTGCTCCGATTGCCATTTTCCACTGGAACCAAAGCAGACAAAGACATGTTCACACATCAGCACCAGCGGATATTTTCCTGCGGAGCCACGAGACTCACTGTCGGCTCACAGGGAGGGAAGACAGCGTTTGAATTTCATTTTACTGCTAGATCTAACACACCAGCTATCTTGGCATGTTCCTTCCAATAAAAAAAAAAAACACTTTCTCAATTGATAACACGTTACGCTTTTCATTTTCAGGATTACTTCAGCGACGGCACAGATCAAGCACACATTGAGGAACCTAATCTTCTATTCTTGTATCAGAAAAAAAAGACTTTTCTGTCCATGATGAATGTGTTTTTCCAACACTTGTATCAGTAACACATACTGTGAATTCTGAAAAGAACTCATTCAGAATAATTAATGCCAACTACGAATCGGTTATGGCTTAATTAGATTCAGTCTATTCTATTAGAGCCTGATGGATATCAAGATTGGAATGTGCCCTTTTGGAAATCACAAAATGAGACTGTACTTCTCTCACAGATCCTATAGTCAGCTCCTGTGTTACAACTCCTGGTTATTGTGCAGTGCTGCACTGTTCCAGTCCTATTTTACTGCACATGTACATTTCTATGTATATTGCTTTCTGCGTTAGTTTACTATACTTTATAAACTATTCTTCTGTGGTACCCACTGTCCAACTCATTATTCTTTATAATTCTGAACAGAGTATATTTACGTACTGCACCTTATGAAACATTGTTTCTTTGAGCCAGGTGGGGGGAAAAAATAAAAATACTTTAAATGCATTATTTCAAAGACAATGATCCTATGACCCAGAATCTTCTTACCAGTGACAAAAGAAAGAAGGGGGATTAGTCAGCAGAGGAGATACAGAAAAGGAAAATAGTGTCATTTTCAAAGTATTTTCATTTATCTCAGTTCAGAACTAAACATAATTGGAAAACAAGCTTTGCTGAAGAATTTATTCACACATCTAGAAAACACTTTGAACAATAAGTCATCTCACAGAAAGAGGTCAAATAAAACATAATTGACATAAACGTGATTACCTTCAGCTGGAGAACACAATATTGCAGACCGAACCAACCAAGTAGAATAAAATATGAATGAATTCTTCAGACTGGTATAAGAGAAAATAAGCTAAACATTATTTTACAGACTTGTGATGAAAGAGGTCTTTTCATCATTAAATGCATGAATAAAGATTTACATTAGATTGCCTAGTACTCACAAAGCAACGCCTGGCAGCTCAGTCTTGTGACCCCTGACAGTCTGACAGGAACGTCATTCACGTAGAACTGATCTCCAACGACTGAGATGTTAAAGTTAATCTAAAAGCAAATACATGACAGTTGTGTTGCCTTCAGCCACAAAATCCGATGTCATATAGTGACTTAATCTGATAGAAAAGGAGCTGTTTTACTAAAAGGGTACCCCCAGAAATGAAATATTTTCTACACAATACTACATGTGAACAACACCACCCCTGTAAAATTGGATATTAAGAACCAAAGTGGTTTGTTAGGAGAGAACTGACTGACATCAGACACACGGGGCTGTTAGTCATCATATTCAGTCAGCGTACTACCACCAAACCAAAGAGTCCCTCTTGCAAATATGTCGAATTTGCGTTTATGTCAACAAGTCCCAAGTATGAGAAATAACAAAGAAGAAGAGAATACTTCCAGCAATTACTACACAAGAAAGATTTATGAGGGGCACATTCAGCCAGATGTCATTTAAACAATCTCCGAATTAGAATGAGAATGAATTATATTTCTTCATGGCCCCTGCTTCCAGAACTGGGTACTGGTGAGGTAGGCAGAATGTCATGAGGTGTAAAAGGTGTAAGATCATGTTGCAAAATGTAACGGCCAAAAAAAACACCTTTTGTGTCTACTTTCAGGGAGGGTCTGAAGGCAGAAATCTGAAATCCGTTTGAGAAGAAAGCAGCAAAAGATCCCTGGCTTCACTGGAACAGAGATGAGGAATGAGGAACGGATTCCTTTACAGAAAAATAACTCCCTCTATCACAACAGACATTGTGAGTGAACTCCCACCCTTTCCTAAAAATATACTTAGGAGACAATGCAGTCTCTCTCTCTTAAAGGGCAAATGAAGGCAACCAGAGAATGCAGATTCTGCTCAGCATTCATGTTTCTGTCTTGACAGAGGGCGTTTTCTGCTATCCCACACAAAACCGCTATGTATCTGGTTTGTCTCCTATTCTGTTTTGCGAAACCTTTGCTCTTAAAGAGCTCAGTGTTGTTTAAACAGAAATTCTAACCGACAGATAAACATTACATTAGTGTAAACCTGAGCGCAATCAATTCGAAGAGAAGAGGAAAAGAGTATGTTAAAAAAAGACTCTTAAAGAGATTTCAATTTGCAGTGGAAAGACAAAAGTTACAAGTCTCACTGTAAAATCACCATACCTGCAAGTCCTTTGTCTCCTGTGTGTCACCCACTGTTGTCACATTGATCGATATATTCTCCTACAAATTCAAGAGAAACAAGAGAAAAACACGAACTTGAACATAATGCCACTCGATTTAAGAGGATTCATGAGATTCTGCTATTTAAAAGTTTCTCCTTCCCAATTTCAACTCTTTGTGCCAATTATCATGCTATCCCACAACAGACGCCAAACATCCAAGACACTCATCTGAAACACAAATGTGAGTCTCAGTAGTCAGTACTTTTCGGCCCAAAAGTTAATTTGGTACATCGAAAAAAACACTGATGACTCAGCCCTCGGTCATACCAACAAGGAGGAAAGACGTGCTGACTTTTACGCAGGTGAAGTAAATATTTTGTTTTTAAAAGAGGAGGAGCAAAGAAACAAAAAATCTTGAATTCAAAAACATATCGCAAAAAAACGTAAAATACAACGATGGGATCTAAGCGAAATGTGTTCATAACAGTCTGACACTGTCACAACTTCTGGGGTTAACTTGAGTGTTTATCTGTCGGTAGGATATGGTCATCCCGGTCGTCAGCAGTGTGAAATTGGCCGTTAAACCTCCTTTTCCCCCTCTTGTTTTTTTTTGTCAAAACGGAGGCAGGAGGCATCAGCACGGTAAACACGCGAACCCAGGGGGTGGGAATCCGCCCGCCTCCTTGAAAGGTGGGAGGCATCCACGCTGTGACAAATGACAGGCCTCAAAATGAACTGTGACACCCGCAGACACATGGGTGCGCTAATTCCGATTATTGACAAGGAAGCTCCCGAGTTTCCGTCACCGTCGACGCATCTTTTAATTACGGCCCGGATTCACCGCTGGCTGACAACGGCGAGAAATTAAAATAACGTCGTCCCAAGTTTGCTCGGCTCATGTGATCAGCTGGAAATCTCAGTATTGAGCAATACGGGGCAAGCCAGGCTTCGCAAATATCGTACTTCCAAAGCACCGAGAGCCCCTCTTGAAAACGTCCCAGACGACGAACTAGCAGGACGTTTTCACGCCGCCGAGAAGACGCCGGAGACAGCCGACGCTCCTCACCTTGTCCAGCTGCCTCGGTGCCGCATCTGTCAGGAGCACCAGCAGGAACAGCAGACTGTATCCCCCGAGCAGCGCCCGCATCCTCTCCATCTTGACTGTTATGAGCTTCTCACATCCTGAGTGAAGCATCCTGGGTATAAAAGGAAATAAATTCCAGTCGTTAAAGACACAGCGACGGCATTTTCATCGCCTTTTCTACACCTGCTGTGCCGTGGTCTAAATGGTGCTCATTAACGTTGCTCGACACCTTCAGCAGTCCTGTTTCGTGCAAGACCATGCACGCCTCCAGTTAATAGTCTCCAATCGCTCTGGTTTCCTTTTAGACTGTTCTCTGTTATAGCTTAACATGGTTATACTTAATAGCAGCGTGGGGCAAACGTGGTAAAATCTGCATATTTTCATTTACACACGCCAGTGAACAGTTTCAATATTTGCGCCAATTAAAACACATAGAAAATCCAGAAACGTGAGTCTATTTTCTCAGTGTTTTATGTCTAAAAAATTATCGATGTTCTAAGGTCAGTTTTCACAATAATATCACAAGTCCAAACTAAGCCAATGTGAATTTTGGCCAGGACGTCGGGGTAACAACCCCTACTCTTTTCACCCTGGGACTTGTAATGACCGCAGACGCAGGACCTGAGTTTTACATCTCATCCGAAGGGTGGGGCCTTTTTATGGTATAGTAAATATTGCCAGCAGCCATATCACCCTGCAACTCACAACTGGCAGCCCACTGGAGCCCAGCAGGTGTGAGCCTGGTCAGTACCTGGATGGGAGACCTCCTGGGAAAAACTAAGGCTGCTGCTGGAAGAGGTGTTAGTGGGGCAGTAGGGGGCGCTCACCCTGCGGTCCATGTGGGTCCTAATGCCCCAGTATAGTGACGGGGACACTATACTGTAAACAGGCGCCGTCCTTCGGATGAGACGTAAAACTCATCCTGACTCTCTGTGGTCATTAAAAATCCCAGGACATTTCTCGAAAAGAGTAGGGGTGTAACCCTGGTGTCCTGGCCAAAATTCCCATTGGCCCTTACCAATCATGGCCTCCTAATAATCCCCCTCTATGAATTGGTTTCATTACTCTGCTCTCCTCCCCACTGATAGCTGATGTGTGGTGAGCGTTCTGGCGCACTATGGCTGCTGTCGCATCATCTAGGTGTATAATGCACATTGGTGGTGGTGGAGGCTGTAAAGCGCTTTAAGTGGGGTGTCCAGAAAAGCGCTATATATGTGTAAGCAATTATTATAGTGTCCCCATCACTATACTGGGGCATTAGGACCCACACAGACCATAGGGTGAGCGCCCCCTGCTGGCCCCACTAACACCTGTTCAAGCAGCAACCTTCGCTTTCCCAGGAGTCTCCCATCCAGGTACTGACCAGGCTCACACCTGCTGAGCTCAAGTGGGCTCGGCAGAGTACCAGGACAGAGTAAAATAGTAGTATTTGTGAACTGCTAAATTGTTTAAGAACATACACTATAAACAAGAAGAGGGTGTTTGCCCTGTCTAGCTTATTTGTACCTAAGTGGTCTAAGGATCTCATCCAGCTGACTCTTGAAAGAATTACAGAACATTATCAAATTCAACCGTAAGGTGAGGTATGTTTTTCAAAACTCCCACAACCGTTTGTGTGAAAAATGGTTCTAGTCCTCAGTTTTAAATGTACTTTCCTATAGTTTCCCCTTGTATCTTCCGATTTGTGCTTGATTTCTGATTCTGGAGTGTTCACGTGATTAATTAGGTCGATAGTGAGATATCTGAATACTTGAATGAGATACTCTTGTACCCCTCTCTGTTTGGGATCATCCTGGAGTGGGACATTCCTTTGAGCTGTGAATATATCGGGCCTCCCTTCTCTCAACTGAGTTCAGAACATCAATATATTTTGTAACTCAATAATATGTCTTAGCAGTCCATCACATAGTTTTAACATACATTTGTTGTATAATATATTGTGCCTTTTCTACTGCTTCCCCACATCATATAAAACAAAATTATATGTCAACATAAACCCCTAATTCTTTCACATTGTTCTTTGTCTACATTAAATGTCATCTGACAGGTTCTTTAAAAAATTTATTTGCAGTTTCTACAGCGTTTATTGATATTGATATGTTATTCCTATGGAATCCTCACTAATTACATCACCCCAGTTAGAGCACTGAGCTCTTACCTGTTTATTTTTTCTATCCATTAACCAGCTTTGACATCCAAAGACTTAAATTGACCTGAATGCCTCCTGTGATTAAAAAAAACATCTTTTATGAGGGACTTAATCAACAGTTTGGTGAAAATCTAAACATATCACATTCTCTGTGTGAATCAATTACTGCTGTTGCTCGTTCAAGAGCTCTAACCCGTACACAAATAAAGATCTACTGTGCCTTTTCTAAAACCCATATTGTTTATCCCCCAGAAGTCCACCTCTCCAGTTCAGATGATCTTGTAGTTTAGTGCCGATTATTGTTTCTATTAACTCGCCTTTAATAGAAAGAAGACGTAGTGGTCTGTAATTATTTGGTACATGTTTTAATGGATTTTTACCATACACAAAAAGACAGCAGTCAGAAGTGCAGGATCATTATTCCAGACGAGAAAACACAAATGGTGCACAATGCAAAATTGTTTTATTGCTTTATTTTAAAGACGATGTGTCATGAAAATAGCTATATTGACTATTACTCCAACTACTTCAAATTCCATTTGTGCAAGTCAATTTTATTAACGATTACCGCTTTAAAACATGCACTGAAGTGATTGATAAACATTTAAAAGTCCCATAAAGAGAAGTTTAACTTTTAGTGTATATGTCGGTTATGATAGCATGGCAATTCCTTAATACCGGTTTAACGAAGGCAAGGGCTGGTCCTCTGCACAACCTCAAAACAGACGAGAAGGTGGAAGTCTCGCATTGAGGTGTCGCTTTTTGATGACGTAAAGTCCGGTAATAAGCGCTTCTGAGCATGGCTGTACTATTAGAAACAACTTTAGGGGATATCGTCCTTGATCTGTACACAGAAGAAAGGCCCAGGGGTAAGACAAAATATCACGTAATAGCAAAGCAATGAATATTTCATTGCGATACATTTCGTCTCGGTTATTTGTGGAGACAAATGTTTGACCTAACTATGTTGTGGTAGGCATTATCGTAATTACCTCAAGTCGTGAGCTCTGTATATCAGGACGGCATTTTCAATTGTTTTTAATGATTATAATTCAGAATTTGTAAAAATAAGTAATGTTTGGTAAAAATAAAAGGCCTAGATGGGTATAGCCCAACTGCGTGTTTTCCTGAAATGAACTGACGCCTGTCCCTGGTACTCTGGCGATTGTGAAGTTGCGCAGTCTGAAGTATCACTGTTAGGCATGTTTATTAACGTTTTGCTTTGTAGACAACGAGGCCGTTAAATGCAACGTGTTGCGATATATGTAGAAATAACATCGTTAATGCAGTTGTTTTCTTTTACAGCTTCCTTAAACTTCTTGAAATTATGCAGAATCAAATATTACAACTACTGCCTCTTTCACAATGTACAGGTAATATCGTTCAGTTAAATTGTTGTCGCCTTCTAAAAGTAAGTCCGTGACGATGAAGGAAACTGTTCTATAGTTCATTGACACTGCGGCGGTCGGGTATAACTCACCAGTATTATAAGGCAGTGTCTACTTTTGTAATGTGTTTAAGCACGTCTGAAGTATTAAGAAATCCACCTAGGCGGTGAATTCATCAGTAATGGAAGACGGAGATGGATACATCTGGATTTTCGATAGTCTTACACACGGACGGTTTCTGTTTCCTGTGTGTATGATCCTCTGTGCTTTATACATCAAGTCTTATAATGCACAGTTGTCTTCTGTAAAATTACATATAACCCTGAGTGTCCATATCTAAGATGTAAGCCACTGCCTGGAACATTTGTTGTATGAAATTCCTCTGCTTATAAATCTGTTTCATATTTCTAATACTGCTTTACTCTGTATTGCAAAGTTCTTGACTGTTGAGACCACGCTGTCCTATCCCAGTCATACCAGTTTTCCAGCACATAAGAGAACCCTTCCTCCACTTTCTCTCAGCTGTGTTGGTCTTGCCATTGCAGAGGGATTTCATCGTCCAGACTGGAGATCCAACTGGCACAGGCCGTGGGGGTGACTCGGTTTTCAGGTTAGACTTTTTTTTTCCTGTGAAAAAGGAGAGGGGGCACGGTTCGAAACAGCCATAGACAGCCGAAAGGCTCAATCCCTTACTGCCTTCTGGCACTCGATCGAGATTCATAATTTTAGACGACACCTTTGATATCTCAGCTGTGTAACTCAGACACTGGTGTTTTTACTTCTCAGCCTGCTGCGGTCTTATTGACTTAGTCCGCAGTATTCACTGTTAAAGTAAAACACATAAATGCAGGGTTTTTTTTTTTGTGACTGTGTTGTAGCTACAGTGTGTGTTCTGATTCAGTTCTTGCTGTTTCATTGTGTTTGCTAGACAGTTGGGTTGCTTTCCATGGTTGGTGCTAACCTTATTTTCAATTTGAGGGTTTTCTTGGGAGAAAGGCATCTGGTTAACAAATAACAGTAATCATACACTGGGGGCTAATGCTCATCAGTGCCTTTTTTGTTTTGTCTCTTATTATAAAGTGATGCGTTTTCAACTCGTAAATCCATTTTTCTTGCACCAGTAAGCTGTACGGGGACCAGGCCCGGTTTTTCGAGATGGAGAAGGCTCCCCGGATCAAACACAGGAAGAAGGGGACAGTTTCCATGGTGAACAACGGTAGCGAGCAGCATGGCTCTCAGGTAAAGATTCTGTGCCCTTCAACCAAGCGAAAACTGGTTAAAGGGCAGCCGCAGTCCCCATTTCTCAGACCGGTTATTATCTCGGTCACCAAATAAATTGATTGACGGTGTGGCAAAATTTTACAGCTCTGAATTACGTACAAGACCGTGAACTTGGTGATAGTTCTGGATGGTCCCCAAGGTGTCGCAAACCACTGGTCTCTCTGTGGGTGAGAGCAAGAGTCTGCGTGAATTGTGACATGAAGCGGCCCTTCCTGCTCACTAGTCACTGTGAGGACTAATGTAATGTAATGTACGAGCATATAAGTACAGGTTGTGTGTCAGACATTTAACCACAGAAATGTTCTCAAAGTTAACCAAGGCTGGACTGGGAAGGAAGACCTTTAAGGAATGCTAGATTGCTGTTGTAGATTGTATTGTTTGCAGTGGACTGGTGTCCCACATCCAGAGTGAGCCTGTTGCTTGCTGGGATAGGCTGCAGTTCCTTTATGCCCCTGTATTGGATTGGTCAAACAGTTGGTGCAGCCGTTTACATAACAGCTTTATTGTTATGTTTATTGTTAAATCTGACTATCTATTTAAATGCATTTACATTTTGTGAAAGTGTTAGATGGTATTTTACAGTAGAATAAAAGTTTAGTGCACAATAATTTTTTCAGAATTAGTATTACCATTCCATGGTTGTTAACTGGCAAAGAGCAAATACACCTTTGAGACACCTGAAGAAGGCTCCACAGAAGAAACATAGTGTTTCTTTTCTTCTCTTTTTGGCATGGAATAAACCTTTACTTGTTCCAAAGAGCAAATACTTTTTAAGGCTTAAACTTTATATTGCTTCCAGGCATCTCAGCACACTAGTCATCAGTAATTTAAGATTTTGTGTTGCAGTAGATATAGTATGGAAGCCTTCAGTTCTAGCTGTAGATGTAGTGTACCGTTTGGAATGTAGTTTCAGGGTTCGGTACAGGCATTTTATGCAAAGCAGCGTCAAGCTTGGTAAAGGTCTGGTCTTTGCCTGTTTTTTAAGTTTTTCTAAAGGAGGATGTATTTTACTTATATGAAATCATATTGGTGTTTAAGCAACAGTTACAAAATTAATTAAACACTTAGTAAATATGACACCAGTTGTAAGAAGATTCAGTATTTATACTTGGAGTAAAACTTTGATTTAGCCTACCGGGTGTGTGTCTCTGTTGCTGTTAGGTTTTAGTCCAATAGCTCACAATAAGAATACTCCAAAAAGTAAAAATATGTTTTGCGAGAATAATTTCTCCCTGGCTTAGCTCTGGGTTTGGTCAATTTTAATTGTATCCTTGTCACTAAATTCACAACAAATGCAAAAAATAACTCTTATTTCTTTCAAAAACTTTATAAAAGGGAAGTCTTTTGAAATGTTTTATGATGAAGACATGATTTTTAGCAAGACTTGATTAAATGGCTGTAAACTGCTCAAATCAAAACATACATGGGTTTTTGAAGTGAAAATTCTCAAAAAATGTTTACCATTTGAAGAAGTGTTATTTTTCCCTCTGCAGTTCCTTATTACCACTGGGGAGAACCTGGACTACCTGGATGGAGTGCACACGGTGTTTGGAGAAGTGACAGAAGGTATGGATGTGCTGATGAAGATCAATGAAGCCTTTGTCGATAAAGACTTCATCCCTTACCAGGACATCAGGTGAGTCTCCAAGCACACACCCAAACATGAAATCCCACATGCCTTGTGAAATATTTCACACATTGTTTGCAAAAAATGAAACAACTACTTGCACAGCAAGTAAAGCATAATGAGCCTTTCTTTCTAATATTATTGACATGAGTCACTCAGCATTCATAAAACAAGTACAAATAAGTAAATCGAGGTATTATGTGTGTGTTGTTGAGTACCATTTTTAAAGAAGAAGTGAATGGATGTCTGTTTTTATGAAAATGGTACTGTCAGAAGCACTGTGCAGATCTTTGTGCATTCTTCTTGTCCAAAAAAAAGCTCTTCAGGGTTAAATTATTATATATTTCTAATAATTAGGAACCAGTTAGATGGATTGCATTTTTACATAGATATGAGTAAGTATAAAAAGGATCTACTGCTTTTTTTTCTCTTTTTCTTGCTTATTGAAGTATATGTATACCGTCTGCCTGTTTTCGAAAAGAATGTCATGTTTGAAATCACACATTAGGACCAGCGGTGTTTTGTGTGGCGGTGTCCAGAATGCAAAGAGTGTGTTCTTTCTTCCTGCAGAATAAACCACACGGTGATTCTGGATGATCCCTTCGACGATCCCCCTGGTCTGCCAATTCCCGATCGCTCCCCCGAACCAACCAAGGAGCAGCTGGATGTGAGTTCATCCTTAGACACCGATGGCGGTCGATGAGGAAAGAAAGTCATATTTATAAATGCTATAATGGGTATATGGGGTTATAACGGCTTTCCTCCGGTTTTTTCTTCTTTTCCCCCGCACTCCAGAAACATGCTGGTGGATTAATAGGCTTAATGGGTCCTGGTGTGTGTGTGTGTGAGTCCGTGTGTGCATCCGGTCCTCACGATGGACCGGAGTCTCCTCTCCAGGGTGTGTCCTGCCTTGCACCCATGTCTTGCCGGGATAAACTCTGGCTTCCCCCACAGCCCTGTACTGGATAAGGCTGTTAGAAAGCAGATGGATAATGATTCTGGAAAATATGAACAAAAATAAAAAAAAGCTCCTCACGAGCTACAGAAAAAGTCCATTGAAACCGTGAAATCCTAATTAAGCAATTCTCTTTTTCAGAAGGACAAAGGTTGGGGGAAAAATAATCTTGCTCTGTGATGTTCAGAACGACAGATTAGCTTTAGCTATTAGATTTATAGATTTAGCTATAAAAACATGATATTTGCGAATGCTTACAGGAGTGATAATCCGTGATTTTATTTTTACCGATTGTGTACTTGTTTTTAAGCACACAGCAGCTCCGCAGCAGCTGAACAAACCGGTCAGCTTTGTACTTGATGTTGTCTGTATCCGTCCAGTGCAACGACAGCCTCAGAGTGCTTTCCACAGTCACTTCATGGCAAACGTCGCCTTGAAAACAGTACAACAAGCGGGGCCATCAGAATTTTAGTTTTTGAAATGAACCAGCTAACCACTAGTAAAGAGAGGGATTTTCAAATGTCTAGATTTTACATCTACTGTATGCAATGAAATAACACAAACTGTCAATTTCTATGACAGTCAATCAAAAAGAGAAGAGTATTTAGAGTATCTCAAACATTATAATAGTAACATTTATGGGAAAGTTGTAGAACACAGGTTCCTTATGCTTGGGGAAAATAAGGGACATATGCATAGGCACTCCTAACCCTGGCTTTTTCATATTCAGTCAACAAAGTGTTACAAAAAGTGTGATCGGCAGGAGGAGATGAACCGCAAACTGCCATGTCTTCAAAATGTCCCTCTTTATTATGTTGGCAGAGCGGTAGAATTGGAGCAGATGAAGACATCGACGATGGCCAGGGAAAGTGTGCAGAGGAACTGGACGAGCAGCTCAAAGAGAAGGAGGCTAAAACCCAGGCCATCCTTCTGGAGATGGTGAGGAAACGAGCCCGTCTGGGCACGGATAAGAGGCGTCCGTTTCGCCCCTGCTTGATGCTTTACAACACCCCTCCTCCCAGCAAGTCTTATTGAACTGGAGAGAAGATAGGTCTGTCAGTTGATTGATTCATACTGCTCCTTGGGATAAAAAAAGGACTGAGCTCAGGCTGAGTGATTTCATGATAATGCCATGTGCTCAGTGTTTTTTAAATTTGAGTTGACTTAAAATTGCCCCAATGACTGGATTGGCTGATCTGTATAAGTAGCCATTCAAAAGATATAATTGTACTTCAAGTAAAAACGTGTAGAGATCAACCCACTTGCTGTGTGTGAATTACGGAGGTCGCCTGGCTGCTATCTGTATAATTGAGGATGGGCTGTCTGTGAAAGACACTGCCTGGAAGGAAGAGGTGCACAGAAGACTAGTCCAGAGAAACCAGAAAACTCCCTTTTTGTAGAGAAGGCTAATCCTAGACAGCAGAGGACCATCACTTTCAGCTGAGCCATCTGAGAAATACTTTTCGGGCTTCTGCAGCTGCAGCACGAGAAATTCCAGAAAGAGTTGCAGTCCTTCGCACATCAGCAGACTGTACTTCTCTGCCTGCATCTTGCTCAGAGGCCGTTTGCCCGTTACATGGCAGACAGAATCTAGCATCTTCTGTGCCCCGAGAGAGCCTCTGAGCTGGTGTGGTGGAGAGTTTCTTCCTCCGAAGCAGAATTCCATCTTGGACCGAGTGTTCGGCTGACTGGTGCGGTGCTGAAGCTGTTCGGCGAGGAAACGAAGTGTAGGGATGTAGGGAGGAATCTCCTTCAATACAGAAATGCCTTCGGTGCATTCTGAGGGCGATCCAGTGCTCAAGTCAACAGTGGTGACAAAGTCCTTCCATGGTGTGATTTTTGTGGGAGCAGCTCTCCCCTGCTGTCAACAGCAGACAACACTGACCTGGCAGCCTTCAACAGGACTGGTGGTGGTCAAGCATTTGCAATGTTTCATACTGGAAACAGATCATGAATGTTTCAGCTGTTTGTTTTTTGTGTTCACATTTACTGCAATTGTGCGTGTGGCACTAATGTTAGGCTTCAGTGCTACGTTTCTTTGTGCATTACTATGTAGTCGTATTCAGTGCAAAGTGCTTAAATGGTAAGAAGATTCTGCGAAGCTGGCTGGTGTCTGAACCACAAGCTCATCACAAACCTCAGCTGCCTGGAATAATCCAACTGTTCTATCAGGAATAACCCTTGAGCATCTCTCAGACCTTGTGCATTATGTAATGCAGCAAAACACAGCAGAGGGCTTTTAATTTACCCCTTTACAGACAAAATCCCAGTGGGCAGGACATTAGATTGCTGAACAGCAACCAGCCTTTCAAATCTTCCTTTTGCTACAGGTGGGCGACCTGCCTGATGCTGAAATTAAACCACCTGAAAACGTCCTGTTTGTGTGTAAACTCAACCCAGTGACGACGGATGAAGATCTTGAAATCATATTCTCTCGCTTTGGATCCATCAAGAGGTGAGACCGCATCTTACCTCTGCTATTCTGAGCACAATATAGAGTAGATTTTGTGGTGCTCTTGGCTTTCTGAAATGAGACTCCTACTGAATGAGGTGCTTCAAACCCACCTTCAGTCATAAAATGTATAAGAAACTCAAAGTGCTGTGTAAGTACACCCAAAGTACAGTGCACACAGCAGAAGAAAAAAGAGAGAAAGGAAAATATTCAGAAACCAAAGGTTCAGTCACAACATTGTGCATTTTCTTCTGCAGTGTTTGTTTCCAGCAAACTACAGCTCAGTTGGTTGTATTTAGAATTACATGATGTTACAACATGTAGCACATAGAAACTTAATCCGATTTTTTTTTGTCTTTTGCCATGTTAGGTTCTAAATATTATTACCTAATTAGACTGTTTACAGTATAAACTTCCTCTAATGGGCTGACATTTTTTACACACCATCTGAAATGTTTCATAATGCATTTACATTAACAAGTAAAGCATGTGTTACAAGTAGTGCAGATTCACATAAGATCTTATCATTGAATATATAATTACAGTGGAATCCAAGATCACATTAATCTTCCTGAATATAAATATTCTTGTGTTGCGATTATAGTCCGTATGTAATTTGAACATTATTTCCTTGCGAGATAATGCATTTGCTGTATAATTACAGCGTTACTGATGTAGCCTTAGTCTAAATTTTCTTGGCATTATTTCATTTGCCTGGTTTATTTGCACAATTCTCAATGTGCGGTTATTCGGCTTAGCTCGCTGCTGTTGGCCTACATCAGGCTTGGAGAGAGAGAATGCTGATGTCATCATAGCTGCTCCAGTAGGATGAAGAGTACATGTGCTTCCTTTTGCGACATGAACTAAGAGCACAGGTAGCAGAGCTTTTGAGCTGAACAGAGAGCCAAGACGTATTGCTTTACATCAGAGCCTAGCAGGTGGCTGATTTGAAATACAAGCAAGTGGTAGTTGAAATGTGGCTGTAATACCATTGAGCAAACTGCTTTGTTTTGCTTTGTTATTGTAAATGCTTTGCTGCATATATGGGTACTCTCCAGTTCATCGTTTTATACGACAATCTGTTCTCAAACTGACTTACCTACTTAAATAGACAATTAGAGAAAATTGAAACTTGACCACACCATTCTTTGAATGTGCAATGCCTCCATGGAGATTAACCACAGATAACAGCAATGTACTGCAGATTATGGCCAGTGATCTGTACTGGACAGCTCTCTGAATAGTGGCTTTCACAGGATTAGCCTGAATGTGCTTCCTAACCATGTGATTGCCACACAGACGCATAAAATGTTCAAGTCACCATAAACCTAGGTCATACTTTTTCCAAACAATTTTACAAAGATCTTCAGAGACCAGATCTATTAGATATCCTTAAGTAAATGTCCATTTCTCTGTTAACTATAGATATCGGACAGACAACATGTTCTTGAACAGGCCAGGAGTGTGCAGTGTTTGACCAAGCGTGTGCCTCTGCCTAGGGAATCCTGGTCTAGCTATTATTATAATAATTAATAATAATAATTGGCTGATGGGTTTATCCAGAGTGACTTACATTTGTACACTTGCATTTATGGCACCTTGCTCAACTAGCGGTGTCCTGCCTGACACTACTCCACTGCTGCCCATTAATATCACGCTACAGAATGCAGGGCTTGAACTCAACCCATTGGACTCAACCCATGATCCAAATGAGACCAGGTTCTGGTTACTCTTTTCACAAGCACTTTAATTATTTTTAATGTTTTTTCCTCCATTACATACTGTAGCTACAGTAGACGTTTTGTAGCACATGAAGCACAGTTCAGTTAATGTTGTCCTTAATGCAGATTACATGCATGTTTTTTTGGTTTTAGATGTCAAATGTTTGCTTTCTCTTTTGGCAGTTGTGAGATTATTAAGGACTGGAAAACGGGAGAATCGCTGTGCTATGCGTTCATTGAATTCGAAAAGGTAGGGATTGCAACTGTTGTTATTGATTTAAATTAGACTGTTTGCAAAGAAAACCTTCTAGTTTCAAGTGATGATATTCTTATATTCTCTAGCATGTAGAAAAACGTGTGTTGGAAAGCCTGTGTTTGGAAACAGGTGTAATGTCACTTCACATGTCAAATTAAACAGTTTCTTGTACTATAGATGTATTATTCTGAAAACAGCTATTAAAGGCCTTGGAAAAGCTGATAGCTCCTTCCTGAGGTTTAGAAAATCCCCCAGTATCACTCATTATTATCTTAAGAGTACTAAATTGTCAAAACAAGAACACTATTGAATGTTTATAATAATTATCCTATTTAACGTAGTACCGTAGTGAACAATACAAAATACGTAAACTGCTGAACTCAGTGCGGCTAATTTCAAGGCAGTATGTTTCTCAACCACTTGTGTTTTTTTCAATCCTTTCTATCCCTGTCAGTTCTTCATTCAAGAGAAGTGCTTTCCTTATTTGTTTTCCTTGGGCCGCAAATATGATATTTTCAATTCCAGTAAATGATGCTAAAAAACATCCCAGACTCTCGGGGTAATGAGTAAGTTTTGCTAAAATGGCATCTAATGAAGAGGCAAACTGCTAATGGCACTTAATTAACGGTATGTAACTTTAAAAACCAAAAACACTATAAGTAAATAATACTAAGTAATGCTTAAATCAGTTGAATCAAATCCGGACCACTAGAGTGAATGAGTTTGCTTAATGCCGACCAGGATTTCCCAAGATTACTGAGGATCAGGCTTGGGATACGGCAATCCAAGCAAAACCACTGCAGCTTCCTGGGTGCGTTCAGGTTTGCAGTAACATCACTGAACAGCGCAGCTCTCCTGCCGCCACACTGAGTCGGCTTGCCCTCTTTCTCCCCGTGTGAACCAAGCGGTAAAGAAACGGTTAATGCGTTTCAAACTGAGCGGTTATAGTATGTTTTACAAGCGTATGAAGGAATAAACTAATCTGGAATATCATAAGTGGTTCAGGTGGGGAGCTGCGTCGGCATGCGTAGTCCGCAGTGGAACAAGTAACAGGTTTATTCCACGTTGAAAAGAGAAGAGAGAAAACACAACATTTCGGCTGTCAAGCCTTCTTCAGGTGTGAGAAAGACAGGGCAGAGGGCGAAGATATTTAATGTGGAATATCGTAATTTAATTTGGATAGGTGCTGTGAAACTGCTTTCCATGGTATCCTTCTGTATGAGGCTGAGAACTTTTTTTTGTACCACTTCAGCAAATTGTTTTTATGCAATTGCAGACTCTTGTGATTAGGAGATCATTAGGGGGATACATTGTCTTTCTTCCACATGTGCAACTGTGCTGCCCTAGTGTTTCAGTGCTGTAGGAGTGATTATACAGACAGAGGGCAGCACTTGGTCACTTTCTAGAGAACCTGTCCTTCATGTGTCAGGTTGCCAATGAGATGTTTTAAACAACCTCTAAAAGAACAGGGATGAAAAGAGCACCTCCAGATAATAAGTAGAACTCGACACTACACTCTGAAACATCTGCTCACTTGGATTGAGATTACTGGTATGTAGAGATGACCGGTCAGAAGCAGTTAATTGAAAATCATGTAAAGAAAAATAGTCTGAATGTTTTTTCCAAGTCGAGCCTGTATTTCATGACAGTTATAAAAAGACAAAATGAGTTGCAATTTTATGGGATTGTTTTTTTTTTCAATTTCACCCTCTACGACTCCCCCTGTATAGAAAATTTATCATTGTAGTTCTTTATACGTTTTTCAACAACATGCCAGTTTGTCAAACAGTGCATCTGACCTAGCGCAAGTGCTGATTTTGCATTTGGATGATAATCTCTTCATTCTTGTACTTTAACAGGAAGAAGACTGTGAGAAGGCCTTTTTTAAGATGGACAATGTGCTGATTGACGATCGGAGAATCCATGTGGATTTTAGCCAGTCTGTTGCAAAGATTAAATGGAAAGGAAAAGGCAAGTGACTTTCACAGTTTCCTGTAGATTAAGGGTGTCTGTAAATAACTTGATTCTAAGAGGTAATTTGCTGGCACAAAAATGCATTGCAAGCAGTAGTGAGAATGCTGTATGTAATGATAATGTGGAAACACTTCTCAGTGTAAGTGAGAGACCATTTTTGTATGAATCAGATCGGACCTATAGCGAGGGGCAGGTGTATCCTGTTTATTTCTGCGAGTTATTGAAGGTTACATAGTAGTTCAAGCAGGGAGCTGCGTCGGCATGCGTAGGCTGCAAAGGAACAAGTAAAGGTTTATTCCCTGATGGAAAGAGAAGAAAAGAAACGCAACGTTTAGGCTGAGGAGCCTGACACTTTGATACCTGAAGAAGGCTCCGCTCTGCAGCACTACTGCAGTGTGTTGGTCCTGGACTGAAATGATTATTTCATTAAATGTGTATTTATCATTTACACATTTATAAAGCATACCTCATGGAAACTACTTGAGTCACCAAGGTGTATGTTAAGCTTGGCTGAAAGCCAACTGGTGTGTTACTTCCCAGCACACAAATCACTACTGTCTCTGCTGGCACAGAGCCTGAGGTGACTCACCAGAGAGCCCGAGTCCTCCGGCTTGCAGGGTTACAGTAAGAGATTCATCACTCATGTGCTCTGCCAAGAAGATGTTTCTCTCTTTTTTTTTACCAGTTGAACAAAATTGACAAAGAAAACGAATATGCGAAGTCAGCGGGTGTTCTCAGAATACGTAGATCTAAAAGTGTTGGAGATATTCAAAACTGAAGTATTATTGTACTAAAAACAGCTGCTTCAGAAGGCAATGATACCAGCAGTCGGTAATTAGTTCATGTCTTTATAAAGAGATCGGAACAAACCCTTTCACTGAGTTTTGAATTCCAGTCCAGATATTAAAATGAGGTTTTTCTGCTGTGCTTGTTTTTTCAGGTGGGAAGTACACTAAAGATGATTTCAAGGCTTATGAGAAAGATCTTGACAGCCGTTCCAAACTGGCGTTGAAAGACAAAGTAAAACCCAGACAAGAGTATCCTTTCTGTCGCCTGAGCTGTTGAAAGTGAAAATGGGAACCAGATTCACTGTATGGGAATTTATTGAATTTTTAGTAAATAATGCATAGTAATAATGTATTATTACAGAATACACAATGCTGGGACTGTATATTTGTATGTCTCTTTTTAAGCATTGACTTTGAAGTAATTTTATGCATTTATATAGTATACCTTCACCCATCATTTAGAGCCTTCTGGAGTAACATGCTAGTCCAGGGATCCCAACTACAGTGCTGGAGATAAAGTCAGGAGACAAACAAGACCCAGGCAGGCAGTCAGCATGTCTAGGAAGAGTTTTATTGGTTGGACTCGGGTCAGCAGGAACACTGACCATACCTTGGTCAACAAAAATCTCCATCTTGCCTGCCCCTGCTGCCCTATAGAAATAGGGTATTTCTATTCCCTGTTTTTATCTTGTTAATAAGATCACTTTATGGACCAAATACAATTTCTTGCATTAGGAATTTGTCTTTTCGCAGACCCCTGCTTGCTCTCCATGAGACACACAGACAGGGAGAAAAGCTTGGGGTCAAAGCACAGGGTCAGCCATTTATACGGCGCCCCTGGAGCAGTTGGGGTGAAGGGTCTTGCTCAGGGGCCCAACAGAGTAGGATTCCTCTGCCGGCCGCGGGATATGAACCGGCAGACTTCCAGCGACAGGCTCAGATCCTTGGCCACAGAGCCACCGCTCCGCTTCCCACTAATCTCAGCAGTCGTAGTCACAACACAAGGAATCAAATCAAAAACAGGGATCGTAGCCTGTTACTAATCTAGTTAATGCCCTTAGCATTAGTGAATGATTTCGCTCAGCCACTTCAGCAGCGCATCACTCATTCTGGTCCTGCAGCGAGCGAAAGGCCTGCTGGTAGCTCTGTTGCAGCAGGCAGGCTGAGGGCCTGAAGGGCATGTTGTATTGTACCGTGGGGAAGGTTGTGTTCAGCGTCACCTCTCTTTGCTACCACTTGAGGCCACCACTGCCTTAACCAGAGCCAGAGAGTCGTGGTTATCCCCAAAGGGCAATTTGTTTTACAAGACTCAAACTTAATCATTATTGGAAGTGCAATGCAGGAACCGCTCATAAAAAATGAATACGCAAAGGGTATAAATATAAACATTAGTGGAAATAACTGAAGCAGTAGGAAGCAATTAAAGGTGGTGAGGATAACAAACGATAAGGTGTGATTGACAGGGGAAATCAAATGACGTTTCTGCGATGAGGATTAAAGACCGTGCATTCTTGTCTAAGCGCGACCAACGGATAAAGCTGGGAGCTGAGGGGTCACGTGTGTTGTCTAACCAGGCAAGTCGTGAGCAGGTGCCACAGCCTTGCTCAGCACGGGTTGAGCACTTCCAGTTTCTGAGGGTAGTTCACCTCGCTGCAGAGGAGCAAGGCAGGACAGCGACCGGGCTCTGCAAGTTGGGGATCAAGGAGGGACAGGGAGCTTCCGGCTCAAGATGAGGAGCAGAGAGGGCGGCTGCAGGTTTCGGCAGAGACTGGCGATGGGCAGGAGCAGAGAGGTTACGCTCGTGACCGGTGAGAATGGGAGTTTTTAATGGGATGTGTTCTGCCCAAGGCAGCCATCTGAGAGACTGGAGTGATGGAGTAGTGGGAGAAAAGACAGAGAGACAGCAGGATTCTGGATGAATTTGCACAGGCAGGTATTGTTGGACCTGAAGCTGTGTAGAGCAGTAAGCAAGGGACACATTCTGCAAATGAAGCCTGAGGAGAGGGTCAGATAAGAACCAGGCTGGGAATGTGAGAGGCAGGGGTTCCTGGCATAGAGGGACAAGGTGGTGGAAACGAAATCAGTCCTTCCTGTTTGGTTTTCCTGAACACTTCCTGAAGCTCCAGGTATGAACTCCTTCTGGGCGACGAGGAAGAAGAGCCAGCAGCAAGCCATCAGCATTCTGGGAAAAAGCACAAAGAGAAGAGGCACCACTACTCTGATGAGGAGGATAGCAGGAAGTCAAAGAAGGCAAAGGTAAAGGAAGTGAAGTCTACTTCCTGCACATGGGGAAGATATTATTTTACACTTGTGACACAGGTAGCGCAAGACTTTTTAACACTAATATTGAACTTGGAAATACTGCGAGTTAAATTGACCAGTTTCCCAAGATTTTCTTTGAACTTATTCTCAGTAGTGTTAGAATTCTTATCTGAATAATACCCGAAGCTGACTTCTAACCCAAATCCACTTTGAAGCTGCTTGTGTTTAATTCACAAAAATTGACAAACACGGGGGGGGCAGTGCACCACAGGAAGGGAACGTGGTGTCCTCCAGGTGCTCCAGTTTTCTCCCACAGTCCAAACACATGCTGGTGGGTTAATTAGCTTCTGGGTAAATGGCCCTGGTGCGAGTGTGCACGCCCTGTGATGAACTGACGTCCCGTCCGGGGTGTGTCCTACCTTGTGCCCATCTTTCTCCGGCTCCCCCGCGCCCCTGTCCTGGATCACGAGGTCAGACGATGGATGGCAGAGCCAGTCTGCCTGCGTGTCGGGGAGGGAGACCGAGTTCATTGCCTTCTCACTCTCTCTCCCGGCGTGCAGGACAGCACGGAGGACCCGCACAGAGAGCGGGGGAGGGGCGGGAGGAAGGCCGACAGGCAGCGCTCCCACTCCCGATCCCGATCCCGCTCCCGCTCCCGGTCCCCGGACAGGGAGAGGCACAGAGACCGGCACCACAAGCAGGGCAAGGCCAGGGAGAAGCACCGGCAGGAGGACAGGGACCGCAGGGATCGCAGCAGGAGCCCCAGGAAGTCCCGAGACAAGGACCGCAGCCGCCACAGATGAGGAGCGCGGTGCCCAGAACACCCCTCTCTCGCCTTCTGTTCTTTTCATCGTCGTCTTTTTTTGTGAGCTTTTTTTCCTCCCAGTACTGTGAGGGGGTCGGCACTAAGTCAGGCCAGCGGCTTCTGCGGCCCTTCGGGGTTCACCTGGAGCCTTCAGCAGGTGCGTCTCCAGCTTCTTTTATTTTTCCCCCGGGTGTGACGAAGTAGAGCACACTTCCCGTTCGGTGATATCCCTTCCTCGAACATCATCTGCCAAACTTCATGGTGCGATTTGTACTCTAATTTCAATTACCATTCTCTTATAACAGTACTGGCAAGCTCTGTATGTTTGTTTTCAGTTTTAATTTTTTGTTTTCTACAATTGTGAATTAAAATAATTGCCTTTTGTTAAAGTGTCGGTTTCTTTCGAGCCAAAACCATCTGCTTTCAATTGTACACCTTCAGCGATTTCTGTGCTAGCACATAATGGTGTCATAGGAATATAGTTCTTAAGCCAGGCCAAATGTCAAGTGAGGTTGACCTTTGCCCTACAGTTGAACTTATTTCCTCAGACTGAAGCTTGGGCTTCCCAGGTGGCTCAGCTGGTGAAAACGCTCGCCTGAGCTCATGTTGAACTGTGCGATCCAGGCTTCACAGGTCCGAGCCTGTGTCATGTCACTCTATGATCGTCTCCAGGGTTCCCCAGGCACATCAGCAGCGCACAGCTGTCAGGGCTCTCTCCCCGAACACAACGCCCCCCTGTGGCCTCTCACGTGTCTGCAGGCTTGTGGTGCAGCTGGTGGGGGACGCGCCTCTCCTTCAGTGTTGGGCGTCAGTGCCTGTGATCTGTAAAAGACCTGCCTCAGCTGCCTTATTTTCCCATGTGCGGTCACAGGGTTTGTGGCCATGAGCCAATATCTGGAATCTCAGGTCCGGATTATTTCGCATCAGGTGAGCAGAGCAGTAAAAATAGCCAACTCTTAATCTATACATGAAGTAAAAGTAAAGAAATACTGTATACTGATGCTGGCCTTTTAGCCTAATGTAATAATGTTAAGACAAAGTCTAAATATGCTTGCTTGCAATGCACAAGTTTTTTTTGTAAGTTTTGTTATACATCACATGTTCTACTTTTAATGGGTGCAAGAAAGCTTTTACTTCTACATCATGTAAGGAGACGGAACCCTAGAGGATGAACATCGTTTGCAAGGCAATTTTTCATGCTTCTGAAAAATGTATAATTTTATACCTTCTAATAGTTCTATGTGATGTTTAAAGAATTCATCTGTAATTTGTCAAAAAGAAAAGTGAAGGGAATTGTCAGACTATATTTTGGAAAAGAGATGTTGGCCGTGAAAGAGATTAATCACAGATTTCTGTCCCAGCAAGGAAATGTGATCATAACGCAATAAAAGCCTGCAAGGCCTTCTGTCCTTTACAGAAGGGCTGATTGCAGACAGGTTTTTACAGTGTTCGGGTTGCACGAGCCAGAATGCTCTAATATAGTCATAAAAGAATTAAATATCATTTATCATTAATAATAAAATGATCATGCCTGCTGATCTTACAATCTAGCCCTTTTCCAATATAAAATGTGCAGAGGCTGAACATTTGATCTGAGCTACGTGTTGGTAAAAAGATCCTGAACCAGCTCCGCTCATCCCTCAACGCCAACTGTAAGCAATAACAGTAAACAATAAGAATAATACCAGTGATTGCCCCTTTCCACCTTGTAACACCTTTCAGAAAATACTAGAAGACTAAGACTTGTAAGGCTGCCAAGGAACATTTACAGGTGGTCTTCTGTACCATATGAATCATTTGCCTCTTGTTTCTCTGGGATTCCCTGATATTCACTGCGTTTCTTAACATCAATAACTAAAGTCTCCTCTGTATCGAACACTAACGTCTGACTCGCATGGCATTCACGGGTGCTGGTAACACAGAAATGATGTGGCACTTTTGTTTTTTCACGAATGCGATAGGAAACACTCGCAACGCATTTGTTTAGAGTCTAGACACTAAGTCGTGAAAGGTCATGCGTCGACTGTAAAGCTGAATTGAGCCGAATAGACCCTCCGGTCTCTCCTGTACGTGACAGGTGCAGGTCCTCGGACAGCTGTCTCCACACCTGCTCAAAAGTGTTCAGGAAGAGTGCACCCCCGGATTCTGAACTGGCACTCTTCGGCAGTTCAGCTGCAGTGTTCAGGGAAAAACTGAGGAGTGACGCTGCGCTGGTGTTCGGAAGGGTTGTGGCCAGAAAGAATGATCTCCGAAGAGTACTGGACTGGACTGGACCCTGTTTCAAGAGCTGATCTCCTTAATTACAGTGGAGAGGATTCGTGCCTATGGCACCTGAAACTCAGGCACTCAAGCGCGATGCCGTAGCGATTGGGAACCCTCTCTCGAATGTTTTGAAAAAGACTGGGCTTTGGTCCTGTCCCTGATTGTTTTATACATCCAGTCATTTTGTGAATCTGAGTTTCTTAATGCAACAAGAATACTGTAAAAAGGCATAAGCGAATTCAAGCTCTTTGTTCGTTATCTGGCCGTTTTTGAATGTTTCTTCACTCTTTGTTACTTTGTCTTGTTACAATTTTCAAAACTAAACGAGTTGCTTAGATATAGAATGCTTTTGAAATCAAAAGCCTGCTGTGCAGAAATAGTAATTTCACTTAACTTTCCACATAAAATGTACAGTTTCTTTGTGTAGGGCTATTAAAGGTATTCTTCTGATATCTTATAGATTAATGCACTATGTCTCATCGATTATGACACCCATCAATTCTTTAACATGGGTGTAAGTTAAGGTAATTTGTGGTTAAAGGTTACCCAATGAACAAAGCCACTCAAAAGTTTTTCAAAGAGTTTTTTTTTGTTTAAAAGCATGGTTTTTCTTCCTTCTTGTATATCAGAAATTAACTTAACAATGTTTGATGTTTGAGTGAAGCTAATAGCATACTTGATCTCTGCGTGCTGAAATAAAAGTTTTCCAATAGAAAACTGTCAAATAAATTGAGCAAGCACAATGCAAGATTCAAAATCGTTTCTCTAAAAAAAAATCAATTTGAAGTACTTTATACATCCCCAAGGAGGAATATAAGAAGCTGAAGTCCATCCATCCCTTTTCTAACCCCTTCTTCCAGTTCAGGGGCACAGGGCAGCCTCTCCTGGCAAGCAATGGGAGCAAGACAGGATACACCCTGGACGGGACGCCAGTCCATCACAGGGCAGACACACAGAC